TTTAACTTAGTTTGAGCCTAAATCTTCACAAATTGCTCAAATTATGTGAAATAATGGAATAAGACAAATGCACCTCTTGAAATAAGAAAAAGGCTAACAGGATTAATAATCCAACACRTCTCTTGCTTATTATARAAGTCTCAAAACAAGATCAAAAATACTTTTTGACTGGATATAAGACTGAAAGAATTGGTTATGGATAATTTTTGCAGTGTTTCCTTTGGGAGTCATACTAATTCAACATGGTCACCACACAGCAGCCAAAAAAAAAAAATGTCTACAACTCAGGCAATCTGCAGAATATGGGGGGAAGTTTATGCGKTAGTAGCTGAGAGTCATCCTCAACACATGGGTGGAGCTTTGACACACGTTGCTGTGGCGCCCAGCTCGAAATAAAACTCTGTAGTGAAAGAACGGCAGATAATATTCATTCCATCAAGAAACGCTAACCCTTTAATTATCATTTCACAAAGCTGCTTTTCAAAATCCAACAAGGGTCCAGAGTTAATGCGCCTGACACACTGTTTTCAAGTAATCCTGAGAACTTGTCAGACAAGTTTGTTTTATTGTATCACACCATTTTTACTTGTCAGTCCTTCTGGAGGACAAACAGATCTGTTGTTGTTAACCAGTCAGAACTTGTCCTTAAGATGCCAGCAGTGTTGGCACATTTTGTGAGTTCCCCGTTCAAAGTGGGCCTCAATTTTTTGATAGGAATCTTGCAATGAAAGAAGGTAAATGTTAGCTGACTTGATGCTTTTTATAACCATCCCCCACCCCACCTCAGCAGGGAGATTTTCTTGCACTTTATCTGCACCCACCAATCAAATAAGCCCACCGCCTTGTGTGCTGGAAAGAAAGCAGCTTTGTGCGGAAAACATGGCAAAAAGAAAGGAAGGAAAATGCTAAATTCCTGCTCCTGATCAGAGCGACTGCCATAGGAAGAACTGAGTTGTTTCCTCTTGCGATGACTGTGTTTCTACTTTAGTGGAGACAAACATAGAGCAACACAAAGAAAGAGGAAAACAGTAGCCTTTTTTGTTACTATTTATTTTTTTTATAAGGAAGGAGTTTGATTGGACGTCCTGGAAATATCTGCCCAGGCTGCATTCCAAGACAGCATTTAGTTTGTTATTTCCATGATTATCATCCCGATAAGGAAAACATGGACAATATTGTCTGAAAGCAATCACTGGATTTACATCCACAGCTGTTGTTGGGTTTGCATTTATTTTGAGTCACTTCCCAAAATTAAATTAAAGCACTTGATATGTTCTTCCAACAGCCAGTCTGGTTTGCACCGCAAACATTTTTTCACTCCGTCTTCATTGAATCTTCTAATCTGGGGGAAGCCATGCAGCGGTATCACATGGTTGGCGCTCACATGTCAGAAAGGAAAAGGCCCTGTCATTAAAGCATTGAGGCTGGAGATGATTCTATAATTGGTAAATGTATCAGCGCCACATCTTCTGGGAAATGAGGGGATTCTGTCCCGATGCATAAWGCTTCTCATTAGCCACTCCTTCTCCTTCTGCTCCTTTTTTGAGTCCCCCCTCCCAAATGTAATGCCTGTTTTATTGTGACAAGTGGTGGCACCAGAAAAGGCTCTTACTCTGGATTTGGAGAGAAGCCAGCAGAGTGGGACAAATGGACTGACCCATTCAGTAGCTCCAATTTTTTTAAGAACTCTCATTTGCTTGTGACAACAAAAGGAGGCATTGATGTWAGAAAAGACTGGAGCTTTGTAGCTGGGAAAAGAGTTTTTCCACAAACTTCAATTCAAAATGCAAATGGTGGCACAGCTGTTCYGTTTTATTTTAGGTTTTCTGCGTTTCAGATGCAGATCTTCAACATAGAAAAGAGTGTAAGTCATGCTTTATTGTCACCGTCAAAAGAAAGTTAATCAGTTTTGCATTTATTGGTAATATTTCCCGTTTACTTTTATTAACCCAATTTCTTTAAAGCTGGGACATGGTGGAAATTGAGAATAAAAACAGAATTCAATGCTTTGCAAATTTCATAAACCTGTATTTATAATTGGTTATAACAAACCAAACGCTGATACTCAGAAATGATACTATCTTTTGAGAAAATAAAGTAATTTTTTACTTGGAATCGGAAACACATTGTGTGTATTTAAATATATATAAGTTTATTTTGTTCCATTGCGAATACAATAAGGGTTTCTGGGATTTTTAAAATCATTAAAATTTTTTAAACATTTTACGTAATGCTCTATATTTTTGTTTAGATACGTGTTTTTTATAGCAAGACTTGAGATTCATCAAGATTTTCTTATCCTAAGCACAAATACTCTTTTCTATAGACCTATTAAAAAATGCAAATGATGTAGAAAATCTAAAATGATCCAGCATATTCTGACAATAGAAGCAACCATTCCTGTTTTCTTTGGACAACGAGCAGACAAGTGTTTATTTCATCTTTACCTTCAAGCTCAAAGTGAAATAAAAAGGCACGTGATTTTAACAGAACCACAAGAAGCTGGAGCTATTTTAAAGTTGCATATATTTCCAAATTTAGATTTGCTGCAAAGCTTCATGTTTTCTTTTGAGATTTGCTCAAATGGTTGGCAGCACAGAACAGAAAYACTGAGGTCATGATGCAGCGATAATAGTGTTCCAGGGAAAACAAGTGCAAAGAATAGAAAACCAAGTAGTGAAGTCAAATATTTTACTGTATTTGGGCTGAAAATTCCTGATGTTTATCACAAATTRTGCGGCCTTAATTGGGTTTAGATTCATGGTTCATTCAGCCATCAAAACAGAAACACTAGAGCACAAGTTTAAACTTAGTTCCCTCAGCATGGCCTTTTTTTTTTCTTAAATTACTTTTATACGTAGACTTGTGTCCATAGCATCCCAGAGGAAGAACACCAAATGACTAGTTTCTGCATTTTTAAGCTCCCACAGTCATTCACATATCTTGTGAATTCTAGTGTCATTTTCACGTGTCTGTAACGGTCCGACAGACGAGTCCACATCTCCAGTTGCTACTGGCACAAGTCTAAAAGCTTAAAACAATACTGTTTGGGTTTGACGCCGAGGTCAACCACAATGATGATCCTAAAATAAAAAGACAYGATGGCCCATGTGTCATGTAGCTTAGAAATGTTTGATCTTACCCAACAGTTTTGTAATATCAGCCCTCAACATCTTGAGCACAGAGTTGCTTAACTGTTTTTAAATGTCTTCTGTATCTAAGACGATGARTCAGCTTCTAACTTCTCTCTGCAAAAAAATGAAACAGGATTAAAAGGTGAAAAATGCAATTGGGTTTTATTTGTGTTTGATTCAGAAAAAATAAAGTTGATATTTATCATTTTCCCCAGAATAAACATCATCTCTATTGCGTATTTTAAGGAGAATGGTTCCAATTTATTCCCACTTGGTAAAACTGCAGATACATGACAATTTAAAATGCCATATATGGTTTAAAGTGCCTGTGACATCATTTACTTTGTAATAAAWATGAATGCATTTATGGAAAGATAACATTGCTAACACATTGCAAGATAAATTTCACACCACTGCGCTGAACAATTGATGAAATATCTGCGTGGGAAGAAACAGGAAGTGATGATAAAGGGGAATGTCTGCATGTGAACAGAGCAATGCCACAACAACCGACAACAGACTGTAGAGATCAGTCYGATGTTTCTTTAGATTAGTTTGAGTCACAATCAGAGGGAGATGAAGAAGAGTCAGAGTTCAAATAATATTGTTTCAATCAACAAAGACCAGGGAGTTCACTTTCTTCAAGAGAACCTCTTTGATGTCACTTCCTGTTTTACTTTGGCTGAGCTAAATTCAAAAGAAAATATGCTAGTTGTGTGATAAAATGGATAAAATTGTGTATAGTGCCAATTTTCTTAAATATTACTGTTTTCTGTGGCTTTTTATTTTTTTAAGGATACACACATCACAGGCAATTTAAAAATGCTCAACAAAGAGTCAAAAACCAGTTTTACATGGCAGACAAAACTGCCTCAGAATTGTGTGGATTTTTGTTCAAACCACGTCTTCGACCGTCTCCCATCATCACATGCAGCAACTTGAGCTTTATGAATTACCTTCTTCAGTATGTGATCATTTGCAGCGTGTTTAGATTTATGTCTCCCCTCTCAGCCGTCATTATCTTTTACAGCAGCACAARTTTTTATATGAATCTCTGAGACACGTCAACATTACCTCAATTTTGTGCCCGTTTATCACAGATCTCGCAGCGTTCGGCTCCTCGGCGCAGGCAGTTTAACATATTTCACAAACGCCTCACGGTTGATGTGGCAACACGCACCATATAACAGAGCAGGAGGGTGGGGCTACCTAAATGCCCTCATTTTTACTGCCGAGGAGGTGGGCTGCGAAGGCTTTAATTCAGCGGAAAGTGGTTCTTCTATATTTGCCCCGAYCATACAGTGACTCCACCCGCTACACATACCACATGAAGTCTCCCCTGCGAGAGAGTTTATGAAGACTGAAGCGCTTCTCATGAGGCTTTCTCCCTTGATTGCTGAAGACCTGGCACCACTTTTGTCAAAAAATAGAACAACSAATCTAACCAGACAATGATCTGTTGGCAAGCTCTGCTGAGCTGCACCACCTCCGCAGAGATTCAGTGAATGGATGCATAAAGCTGAAAAACAGAAAAAAGGTTTTGTTTCGTGCAAAAAGGGAATAAAAGTAGAAATGCAGAAGGACTGGTGAAATTGTTGCAGGTCTGTAAGCGGGTGGGTCAGGTGGACTAAAATGACTTCGACCACATATATGTAAAGTTGAGGTAATTACTAGGTTGGAGGACTTAAATAGATGGGCCCGTAAACACACGCTGGCAGTCAGGGCAGCTGCCTCTTCAGCAGCTACACTTCCTTCTCTACTTGGAATCAAATCCACGCAGTTAGCTTTAAAGGTGGGAATGTGTGTGCTAATTTTCACCATTCACAAGATTTTGTTGAACGTGATTCTTCATGTAAAAAGCTCCGCTTTTGTAGTTGTAAAGTTAGATTTATTGCAGCAGACAAAATGCACAAAAAAAAAAAAAGAAACTCAAAACTGGTAAATATTCTGTCGGTGCCTTTTTTTCATCAGCCGCCAGACGACCTGTGTCWACAGACAGAGAGCTGTCGATAAATCTCACACAATCCTGCAAACCAGCTGCAGTTGGAATGTTACGAACTGTACGAACACCTGTTTTAGCTGATGGATCCAAACATCTCTCAAGCCACTTTTGACTAAATTACATACATCAAACAAAAATAAATGGCATAAGCAAAAACTGCTGCAGCAAATAAGAACAGGACATTCAACCAGTTTTAAAACAAGAACAATTAAACACATTTTGCATGAAGCATCACTAACTAATCTTAAAAGAAAGTATTGGCAAGACATCGGCCTTTCCCCTGTTGACCTTAAGGCAGTAACTAAACAAGTTTATGGTTTTAGATTAAGTGGTTTAAAAGTAGTCCAACTGCAGACACAACAGCAGCATTAGCATTTCATAAAAAGAGTCCAGTGCAAAACATAAACATACAAATTGTTCCTTTTTTTTCTCTGTTTGTTTCAATTTTAGTTTAACAGTTGTTCCAAATGCTCTTGCTTTAATAGTAAACTTTAATTTAAAAACTTCTAAATTCTCTCATTAAGCCATGTTATATATGAACAATAAAAAAATTGAAGAAGCTCATTATAAAATATAAAGCTCTGGATTAGAATTAAAAAAATTCCTAATAAATATGGTTCTTTAAAAAAATGATTTTCCAGCATTTTCATGACAGGTTCATTCTCGTTCAAGTCCATAAAGATTTAAACACTTTGTCCTCAATCAGACTTATAGATTTGTTTGTTAGCATCTCTTCGCTGCTGACAAGTTTGTAGCCAAACAGCTTCAGCGTCGGCCCACACACTCTCTGTACCACCTGGGCTATCTTGAACGGCAGACTAAACCTCCATTTCTCCACTTGTTCTGAGGACTTTTTCTGTGTGGAGTACACRCCGCTGGTCTCCTTAGAGGCCTGGGTGTTCCTCAGAATCCAAGATTTGACTTGTCGGGTGAAGGGGATCCCCGAAAACCTGTACATCTCTGTTGCTTTCCTCATGGGGAATCGAGCGATGTCCTCGTAGCGCACCAACATGTAGCGGCCGCGCAGCCACGGCGGCTGCCTGAGGCCGACCTCTGCGGACAATCTAATGTTGTCACAGTTCCCCTTCAGCTTCATTACCTCTGCAAAATCAAGAGACACACTCCCACCCATGGCCCACTCCTTCCAGTTCTTRTATTTGTCAGCAAAGGCCACCATGCGTGAGGCCAGCACGGCCCGAGGGTCCCGAACCAGCTGGATGAATCTGATGTCAAGTCGTGGATCCTCGGCTAAMGGGCGAAGATTCTCGAGCTGGCGGACCCTGACAGACTTGATGACCCTGTTCTCCTTGTTGAGGCAAGACTCGGAYGCCATAGTCAGGTTGAGGGGCCCGCAGCGTCTTGCTCTGCAGCGATAGCGCTCAAAGACTCCCTTGACGACAGGGCTGCAGACGGACTCCTCGCACAGAGAGCTGCTGGATTCCCTGCGGAAAAGAGCCGCGGTGACGTGGTTCACAGGAGGGGGCTCTAGGAAACTTTCCAGCAGGGAGAAGTCGCACAGGAAGAGCTGCYGGAGCACGTCGCGGTACGCCTTGGCAGACGCGGTTGCATTGGTGCCCCCGGTGTCCAGAGTCAGCATCTTCTCCACGTGCCACAGTGGCTCGAACAGGTAAAACATGTTCTCGCCCTGCTGGTTGAAAAACTCGCCCACAAACGAGGAGCCGGTCCGGGTGGTGGCCAGCAGGAGAACATGTCTYCTTCCTCTTTTCTTCACCTCTTGGTGCTCGCTGTAGTTCTCCAGGCGCCGCTTTATCAGCACAGCATCCTTGCTGAGGGAAGGGAAGGAGGCATTGTGCTTCAGAATGTGGTCTAAACCACTTGGCTGTTGAGGGTCTTGGGGGATGTGCTTTAACGTGATTTTTTCGGACACCCTGAAAATGTTTAAAAAAAACAGTCATGTTATTTTTGCAGCACAGCTTTGTTGTTTACATTTACAACTGATGCTAAAGTTGGCTTACCTGGAGATTATCTTGTTCTCTTTCTCAATTATGACGAGTGCCACGAAGAAGACGATGGGCATGGTGTATTTGATCCTCATTCTTGTCTGAAGATTATGTCCCACACTGCCACTTAATAGGTTCTGCCAATCTCGTGAGTTACCGTCCTAAAGTGCCTTCCGGTTGTTTGTGTTCCTTCTTGTAGGTGATGCTTCAGCCTGTAAAACGAAATAACCATCAACCACACATTTTGCTTGTTTAAAGACAGAGGAGCATTTGGCTTAAACTCGAAACTTTCTGTTACCTCACAGTTATTTTCCACCAGGAGGAAGTTGATGCTATCACATGAAGCGTAAAACTGCACTGTGATGCTGAGTCACATAAACTGCTTATGTTCTAAGGACTTCCTTAATTTTCAGGGTGTGCATTTCTTTTTGTTGAGGCCTTTTGTTCTGCAAAACATAAGATGGAAGCGTTTAGGCGAAGACTAAATTATTATATACCTGAAGACAAGAACTGAAAATAACCGGTGTTACAACAGAATCTAAGCTGTGAGGAAGTCCTTGTCCTTTTTAAGTGCACTGGTGCATTTTAAGAACATGCCCACCCACCATGCCAGACTGGGGGCTGCTGCACACAGAGACACGCTATTTATGGCTTAGACTAGTTTTTCTTTTGGCTGCTCCCTTCTGCAAGGGTTGCCACAGCAAGGAAATCTGCATGAAACGTTTGGTGATTGTTTTATGCCGATTGCCCTTCCTGGGCTCAAACCTGCAGCCCCAGAATTTAAGAGGCCGCCGAGCTACAGCTGCCACCTTTATGTTGGTGGGATGGGATTTTTTTTTAAACTGAGGAGAAAAACAACCGTGAAATGTCAGTGGCAGACTGCAATCAAGCACAATCTTTCCAATTAAAATGCTATCCCACAGCTGCTAAGCTGCTTGCCAAAAAGGAAAAAAAAAAAAGTAAATCGCAAGTTGTCTGGCTAAAAGTGATACTCTCTACCCCCCTGCAGACGTAGGCAGCAGAGCACCCTGATGTCCAAACTACCATCTCCTACTCATTGTCAGAACATGAAAAGAGTCTCTAACTCTGCTTTCGTGCCTTAAAGCGTAAACTGAGACTGACGCATGTCGGAGCGCTGAGAGGTGTAAGTGTGCTGCGCCTGAAACTGAAAGGGAACGGCCTCCTTGAGAAGCCATAAATTGTAGTGTTCTAAAGGTGTGTGCGGCGGTGGTGGTGGTCGCAGAGTGGGGGCGGGGGCACTTGAGGTATTTATAAGCCTGACAGGAAGTAGGCAGTCATWGGAAGATAAGACTAGGCTTAATTGCACCTGTTTGCGAGTCTTTTTCACATTCTCCAAAGATTAATTTTCGTTCGCTTTGAAGATAATGCCAACTAGACTCACACCCCTGACTAATCTTTAGCATAATCCAGCCTACACCTTTCCTRGTAATGAATGGGTCAACAGAGTAAATGATACTGCCGCCTCCATCCAAAGAAATTTTGCAAAGCATCAAAAATCTGTTTGTTAATCATCACTYACAGGTTCCCAAAGAAGGTAACACTTTTTACAGATAAAAATCACATCACTGAAGAGATTTGGATCAGCTGGAGATGATTAACAGCTGTTTTATTAGGACAGGTAAARTGTATTATAATCTAGATGAAAGAAAATAAAAGCATGAATAGTTGTTTCATCAAACCTCAGATTCAGGGGGAGTGGTGTAGTTTCTGTCCTGAATAATAAACTAGATCTTTACCCTTGAGGAATTGCTAAGGGGTTCGTGGGACTCTCCGGTTTGGAGGATTTTGTCCCACTGGTAGGAGATCCAAATACAGACCAAAAACTTGCTRGAAGGGATTGTATATTCTTTCTGGCCTGAGAACACCTTAGGATCCCCCAGGAGGAGCTAAAGAGTGTTGCTAGAGCGCGATATGTCTGGATTTCTCTCTTGGACCTGTGACTTTTAGGAAGGGCAGAKGGATAATCATCTCGCTTGCGTTTTGACAGCAATCTTCTTAATTTGGAAAAGTTTCTCAAATAATAAGCTCTTTGGAGTGGCCTCCAAGAAACTTTGATTTATCAAAAATATTATCCATGTTTCTCAAATATGAATCAACTGCAGAGTTTAAAGGACCAATTTGTTGCCTGTTTAGAAGAATCATGCTGTCTGGGGCAAGGATTACAATTTAATTGGTAATAGATATTTTACAACCAGTCAATGATTTCTTATAGACACTAAAGTAATTCTGACATTTGTGGGGGGGGGTATGTATTTTCCAGGCACATACAATTCAATACAACAACCAAGTAACTATGCTAGCTAGTTGTTATGAAAATGATGTATACATCAAAAATAATCTCGACTTTGCATCATAGCTTTGAAATTGGCCTCTGTTTCTTTACGATCTGCCTACTGTTTCTGACACTCCCACTTCATCACGTCTTCACAACAGTGCTGCATGGGAGGGGTGCTCTGTGGGGCGGGAGCTTGGCTACAATCTGAGCTCCAGGGAGGAGCTTTGTACAAATAGACGGTGCTTTGTAACAGCAAGTGTTTAGGCAGCTCCACATAGCTAAAACAGAAGATTTAAGGATTTCTCAAACATGCATGCATGAGTCAAAGCAACACTCTGGGTATGTTTCTGATGAGGGAATGACATTATAACATGATAGCCTCTTTCACAAGACAGTTCTGCAAAGCTGCTGCACAGACCAGTCCAGCTTTAAGCTCCCTCAGGTCTTTCAAAAAAAAAAAAAATCAAAGGTCCCGCTCACATGTACGAGTTCAGAAATTAACCAAGCTGCGCAGAACCAAAAGAGGCATGRAACAGATCTCAGCTCAACAGAAGTGGGCCGCGACGTATTTATTGTGTGACGGACATCTGCCTCGTATCAAATAAAAATAAAATAAAATAAAATGAAATAAAATAAAATAAACTTACTAACGATCCTGTGGGTCAATATTTTTTWAACTAAATACAAATTTGCTGCTCTGTGTCATCTTTAATATTCCGTCTGTGATAAATCTATTGATTAATCCTGCAGTTGCTCGAGCTGACGTCTGTCTTGATCGTATCAAACGTAGGTTTGCTTTTATGTCCCATGAGGATCGTGCGTTGACTTTTCTGGAAAATGGTTCCCACGATGTAGCAAGCATGCCCCCCCCCCCCCACACACACACACACAAACTTGATTTTATATCCTTGTTGGGTCCGTCCATTGACTTCCATTCATTTTTTGGTAATTTTAAATCCTAACCCTGACCACCAACCCTAACCCTAACCTCACAGGTACCTTCCTGACCCTAAAACTAACCTAAACTCAATTCACACCTTGGTCCTAAACCCAAACCCCCACACCCAAAATCAGCCTCCGAAGTTGTGGGGCCCAAGGAGCACCCATTCCCCATGATGCTGCATTTTCCTTAAACATGGACCCCACAATGTAGGAAAAACAAGGCCACACGCGCGCACACGCGCGCGCACGCACGCACGCACACACACACAAACCAACAGAATTAACTGATTTTTAGCAATCTTGTTTCAATACTTTTAAAACTAACTACAAAGTTGCTCCCTCAGAAATAAATCTGTTTGATGATTAATCCTGCGGTCGCTCACTGATGTCATCAACTCATTATCGTTTTCTGAGCGCGGAACCCCAGGTTGTTTTTGCACAAGTCGGTCAGCTCAAAACCCGGCTCTGATACTACCTCACTTGGGGGCTCAGAGGGGCATCAAAGGCGGACTTTCTCGCCTTTCCACCTTCGTGTTTTTTCTGAATGCTTGGAGGAGGACAGAACACGCGTCAGTCCCGGACTGAGCTGTCTTATGAACGAGGCTGATTTAAAGTTTCGAAAGTAAATTTCACATAATACCCTCTCTTTAAAGTACTCCCTGTACAACAGGGAGTCGTCAACATACAGTTTGTATTAATAATCTGTCTGCTCAGGCCTGATAAACCTTTTGTTTTTATCCTGGCAGTCCAGTGTCTTGAAGTTAACAAATGTCAATTTGGTTCAGGTATCCTGTAGCGACTTCAGCCTATGTGAGCACAGGAGCAGGTCCAAAACTAGTAGTCTAAACACAGAGGACGGTTGGACACTGGCTGTGAAATTCCCTGAGCAGGAACAGGAAGTTTGTTGATCCAGTGGAGCTCTGTGGACGTGGAACAGCTTGTAATGAAAAGGTGAACAACCTGTGTACAGAGACGTGTTTTCATTGGAAGGAAAAGTCAGGCCTGTCTTGCACCACCCTGCTGCATGCCACAACCACAAAGGTCCCTTCGCACAAGAGTGATTCTGGGCCTTCTTTTTTTGGAGGGCTGAGACGGCGGAACATAAACTGCTGGGTCATTCATATGTCATCCTKTTGGAGACAGAGTCCCTGAGTGTTACAACTCATCAAACTACAAGAAATGTAAGGGCTAACAGGAGATCTTAACCCATTTGCTCTGTAGTTTAAAACGACTCTTTCTGAACTAATTATGACAAGGGGGAAAGGTTTGACAAATAAGACAGTTATAGCACTCTTTCTACAGCTGTGCAACTCAATGTATACCTTTTTCAAGATTTAAAAGAATATCCCACATCAACAATTCATCAAGTAAATAAGTAGTCAGATGTTTTGTCATTTATATAGTAAATTAGATGTACACCAATTATCTCAGCTTATTGCATCTGCTGGGTAAAGAGAAGTGGGGGAAAAAAAACCCACATGAGCTGACATTCGTGAATATTCACAAACCACTGAGGCATATGACACGTTTGATCATCTGCTCATAACAAAACCGCTGGTGCACCATTTATCATCTTGTTACAAATGGTTTTAATAGCTGCCTCTTATTTAATGTAAATCTTTTGTGAAGACCAATTAAACAGCAGCCACCCAAGCCTGCTTTACATGGAACAGTACTCCAAGTGTTCATTAGAGTTTCAGAACACATTAATTTAATAAGTTAGTTTTTTTAAAAAATCTCTATAACAAGTTRCATTGTTGAAACATTCCCATGTATTCTCCAGATTAGGAAAAGTTTCTAACGAGATGTTTTTTTCTATCATTGTGTTACATCTGCAAGGGCATGGTATTGTGTATTTCACACATTGTTTCACTCTATACCACAACCAAGTAACTGTGCTACCTTTAGTTGTTGTGGAATGCTGTATATATCAAAAATATATTTGACTTTGCATCATCCGAACATCTTGAAATTGGCCTCTGTCTCTTTAAGAACCTCCTACTGTTTCAGACACTCCCACTTCAGCATGCCTTCACAACAATGCTTCGRTGGAGGGGTGCTCTGTTGGGACGGAAGCTCAGCTGCAGACTGAGCTCCGGGGAGGAGCTTTGTGTAAATAGGCGGAGCTTTRTACCAGCGAGCCTTTAGGCAGATTCAAAGATTGATCAGACGATAATACAAAGTTTTTAAAAAATATGTTTTACAGAGTACCCCCCCRCCATGTTACAATCAGATAAATGATGTTTAAAACCATCTACCTATATTTATTTGTCAAAATAAGCTCAATTAGTTTAAAACAATTAAAGGCTTGAATGAACCTGAGTAGACTCCATCAGTKGTCTTGATGTCATGCACTGTGATCTGCTTAAGCAGTATGTTGAGGACAAGGTTCAGCTACTACCACACAACAAATTTTAGGTCAGTGTCTGTAAAGTTAACTGTTTTATAGCTATTTTGTACTTTCTAAGGTAAATTAGCTGTGGCAATCTTCTTAAATTGGATTGACTCTGGTTATTCAGTTGTAGACACAGAGCTATAGTAGCTGAGCATTATCCCCAACACATTTAATTGCTACACATTCTGCAACTTATTTGCTTCAAAACATGTTATAAACCGATGTAGTGAACTCATTTTTCTGTCAGCAAAATATCTCATAAACCAATGAAGAGATTTTGATCAAACTTTTGAGAAGTAACTAATTGATAGATTTAAAGTAAACAAAAAAAATTGAAGCAAGCATGCAAAAGGATTGTAAAATCTGCATTTGCTACAATAATAGATTATTAGGACCTATTGAAATCATGTATAAAATCAAACAAAAGTTACATGTATTTTTGTGATGCACAACAGGTTGCAGTTTTAAAGTAGCTCCTTAAAAACTCAAAGAACCCACCATCATAATGAGCTCTGGGGTCGTGAAGGCGTCCCGCTTTCCATCCACTTGTTCTGCCTCTTCAGAAAGTGCGACTCGGGAGAGAAAATATTACTTCATCAATTTTTCAAATGATTTGCGTGGGGAAAAAAACAATAAGCTCCAAAAGATGCATCTGGGCTGGCTTCGTTTCGTAAAACACAAAAGACAGATGAAAACATGTTGAGTAGGCTTGYCTCGGATTAACTTTGTCCAAGGGTCGCAGCTCGCTGAATCGCATGAGAGAGAGAAAAAAAGAAAAAGTTTGGTTGTGAAGAGCGCAGCTGTGAGCAGGAGGTGCGCGTTTTGACACACGGCCCCCGCCTGACGCTCAACTCAGCTGAAGCAAAGTTAGACTTTATGCACTTTAAGTACTTTTTTTAGACAATATATGGATGGAAAATTGAGGTTTTGGTCTAAAACTAAAATGAAATGTGGTGATTTTAAGGGCAGATTTATTTTTTTTCTTTTGTAATTAAAATAAAAAGAACTAGAGCACCATTTAGTGGTAAAAAATACAAACTGCAACATCGTGTAGGAAAGGAAGTCACTCAAGCTCATTTTTTTAAATGTAGACTACTAGACTACTGACAATTTGATTACAGTTATTTAAGGGGTGTGTGTGAGAATTATAGCATTTCGTATTATTTTTTTTATTTTAGTTACACTATTTCGTTTTTCTATCATCCATATCTGTGTCGCTTAATGATGACGCAGATGAAGAATTTTCCGGAAGGTCTATCGGCGCGTTGTAAAACACTTGCGTCAGAAACTTGCTCATTTTGTTTTGGGAAGGTGAACGACGGTATTACTCTTGGTAATGAGCATTTATTTACTGTTAAATTCCTTTGTATGTAATTATTTATAGTTTATCGTTTAGTTAGTCTAATTACTGTAGTTCAGGAGGAATTTATTAGGGGGATTTGTTTGTTGCTAGCTTGTGTACGAAACGTTGCTAAGTAGTGTTAGCTCAGTTTAATCGCCTGCACTGACTGTTCAGGCATAACAAGTGTTATTTAACCGTTAATGTCATTACAACGTATTTAATTTGTTTGCTGCTTTTCTGACCATATTGTAAGTAAATGTTAGCCAAGGACACGTTGACTTTGGTTATGAAATGATGCACAGACCCACTAACATTGCGCTTCTTTTACGTGCTTTCTGTTTATTTTTCAGACGGATACAGATTRTTGTGACCATGTTGGTGGCGAGGCTAACGTGTCTGAGGAGTCTCCCGCTCGTCGGGCTCCGTCCTGGGCTATCACAAGGCTCCTCAGCCCTGAGAACGCCCACCCTGAAGGCCAGCACACCACTGCTAACACCCCAGCAGGTACGCTTACTGTTAGGCTTTGTCTTCAAGCTGGAATGCATGTACTTTAAAGTTTATCAGTCTGTTCTGGTTGCTCTACTGTCTATAAACRATATTAGTAAATGACGCAATGCATAATATGTATTTTAATTATGTAGTTGTTGCCGTTGAATTTCTGATTTTTAGATTTAATTTTCACCTTAACTGTTAGTTTTCGTAGACCAAGTTCCTTAATGCTGGTGCCGTCATAATAAACTATAAATTTGTTTAGAAAAAAACTTTTAGGGTTACTTAACAACTTCTACTTCTGTTTGTATACTTGATTGTTTCAGAGCAATTATACACAACAAACACTACCATGTGCTGTTTTATGTTTTATAGGTTTTTTATAGCTCTTGAGAAGTCTTTCAAGTATTACAGACATGAAGTCACTAAAGTCTGTAAAGGTTTACTGATTAGTTCACTGGGTTAAGACATTTTCAGACTCTTAACAAGTGATCAAAAAGAAAAAAACTTGTGTAGGTCTTCTGGAGGGGTTCTTCTCTAATGAAACGTTTCGTCTCT